AAATAGCTTTCTAATGTTAAAATCAGAATATATTATTATGATTCTTTGCATTAATATACAAAATTACCCTTAAAGAATACCCTAATCCTCATTTTTATGGTTATTCTTCATTACAGCGTACTCTGTATTGATAATTTTTTTTGTAAGGCCAATTATAAAAGACTTCTCTGGAAGTAAAAAATAACAGCTCAGCATTTTTTTATTTACTTTGAGTTGATTTTTAGAGCGCTGCCAAAATTTTGTCACAAGAATATTTTTCTAAGTTCGTTACACCCCCAATGATTCAAATAATCTGGAAGAAAGCCAATGACATGACTAATGTAATGACCTCTTTTATTAATTAATGTTCTAAGTATTATGACCTTTAATAATTTCAGTCTGGAAAATTAATGGTTTAATTTAATAAATAATTTATTAACTATAAATTTTTAATTATTTTATTTACTAATTATTTTTTATATTTAATTAGCCTATTAACTTTTAAAATTATATCAAATTGGTCTACCAGGTAATGTTTCGTCGTTGGAACTAACGGCGGTTGACGTTGGTACCAGTGTGGCACCAAATATGTTGCCACATAGGTGCCACCTGGCAAACAATCAATGTTTTGAACTGTAAATTTTTAAGGGTGTTGATATAAGAATAATTTTTTTATATTATTTTCTTATATAATTTTTATATGTTATTAAATGAATAGATGCATTTAATATTATGGATTTTAAATAAATAAAAAGAATCAATTCTTTAAATGATACGTAAGATTATATAAAAAAAAATATAAAAAAATTATCTTAAAATCATTTTTAAAATTTTCAATTCATTCAAATAATTTTTTTTAACTTATCAAATCTCAAACAATTCAAAATTTAATTACATGAGTAATTACTACGGTTAATTCAAGATCGATGTCCTAGAAAAAATACTTCATTCATCACAAAAAAATTGTTTTATTACTTAAATTCGTCCCCAATTAATTACTCCTATTATTATTTTGGTTTTTAAGATAAATAAATATTTTTTATTTTAATCTTATTATTATTTATTTATTTTAATTAATTGTTTTATTTCAAAAAGTCTTATTTTATTTTAAGTTTATCTAAGCGCAAAAATAGTGAGTAATAATTGTATAATTATTGCTATTTTTTATTTTAAAAAGATGAAATTGACTTTTATTTTAATTGTACATATCATATATTAGCTTTTTATTTATTCATTTTGAAATTAAAATCAAAATTTTTTAATTTAAAATTTCACATTTTTTAAGAAAAAAGTGCAATTATTAAATTAGTAATTGCTTCATATCCTGTGCTTTAAGAATAAAATAGACAAATATTTTTAACTTTTAGAATTTTTTCTAAGAATAGTATAACAAATACATAAATTATTTCTAAATTTTGAATATTAAAAAAAAGTAAAAAAAATAATTCTTGGGATAAAGAGAGTAAGTTAATTCAAGTTAAATATGTTTCAAATTTAATTATTATAATATTTTTAACCTCTATCTTTAAATTGATAATAAATATATCTTTGTATAGCCATTTAAGAGTGATTAATTTTATTAAATTAGTAATTGAAAATCCATATGGTTTATGAGTGCGTTTGAAATTATTGTAAGGTACTGTGATTATATTAAATTATACTATATATTATAATTGTGGTTGAATATAATTTTGGTATTTAATTATTTATTTTTTAAAAGTATTATATATGACATATGATAAATTTTATTAATTATTAATTAAAATTTAAAAAATATTATATGATATGTAATTACTAAAATATACAATATTTACTACTTTTTAATAATTTAAGTTTTTTAGATTTTTTAAGATAAGTGTTCTTTTGAGTTTCACGAGAGAGTAACTCATAAGGAAGGAATGAATTTTTAATTTTTTTTATAAAATCTTCAAATAAATGAGAGATTATGTTTAAATAAAATAGTAAATTATGATGTAATTGAATTAAATAAAATTAAATGAATAATTTTATAATTATATTAAATATTAAAATTATCTATGGGGCTACAATAAAAAAGTTTCAAAATAAAATTTTTGATTATATATATAAAATTTTTATGAATTTGTTGTGATTTCTTACCATTTTTAAATAAAATAATCTAAAAAACTTATCAAATACATATATATTTAAAAATATGAGGCGACTGCAAAAAAAAATCTCCAAGTGCAATCCCAACCCTACCCTATAATTGGCGTGTACGTGCCGGTTTAATTGGTTCCATGTGGGCAGCACCGTTGGTGCCACGTAGACTTCCGTTAGCTGCACTAACGGAACTTTATCAGGGCAGACCAATTGATATAATTTTAAAAGTTAATAGACTAATTAGATATAAAAGATAGTTAATAGACAAAATAGTTGAAAAATCTATGGTTAATAGACTATACGTTAAATTAAGCAAAAATTAATTAATATTGTTTATTTATGGTTTTGGAAAAGGATCTTCAAAGGACTATGCTAAGAATTTAATTTGTCTTTGATTCTTATTAATTAAGAAACAGAAGAGATAAATAGGCTTGCCGAACATACCTTTCAAAAAACGAGAAAAGGCTAAATCAACCCCATGTCTAGAACTTTCAGCTGCAAGTTTAATTGCGAATAGAAGTTGAAACTGCTGATAACTAATCGCTTTACGAGTGTTTTTTTTTTTTTCTCCTAATAAACAAAACTCACTTTTCAATAATAATACTGTTTTCCCAAAAATCTTCTAGTGACCTTGCACGTGTGAAATTTGGATGCGGGCGTACCACTTACTTTGCTGAAAGTAAGAAAAGAGGACTTTCCCAATGACCCTCTCATTCCTCACGGTCGACCTTCTTGTGGATGGCGGGAAGAACGTTGGATTAAAATTGAAATTTGCGCCTTCAAACGATTTGCAAGAAGGAGGGATACATTCCTGCAAAATGTGTTACGAAATCTGCCTTGGATAACTCCAAGGACTTAAACACTACCGTGACTTAAAATTAACAAATCATAATTGAATTAAATAACTTACAATTTAAAATAAATTTGCGATAATAAAAATGTGCACAAATTAAATTAATCATATTCACTGTTAAATTAAAATGCCATCTACTGGCAGATCTGAAAATTTAAATATTGCAGAATTAAAGATTTTACCCTAATTAACATTAAAATTAACGTGAACAGTGATTAAACTAACATGCTTGAGGTTGAAAAGAGGTATGAACACCACATAAGTAATCATTGAATAAAATGCTACTTATCATAAACATTAAATTAATGGCAAATGGAAAGTATAAAAATAAATTCAACTATATATATATATTTCTAGCTATGATATTCAATAAAATTAAAATGCAATCTAATTTCACTTAATTTTAAACATTTTTTAAAATGAAAAAAATGAAAGAAAATATCACTTAAATGAACCTCTTAAAAAATAATAATGGTAAAGAAATAATATTTACAGTATACTCCCGACCTTGCTCATCAATATATGTTGGCATTTTATATTTGTCCCTTGGATGATGCATTTTTTTATTTTTTTTGCATGGATCACATCAACAAATGATAGATCCTTTTGTTCAGGATCTTTTTCTTTCTATAATATCACATATTCAATTATTGTGTTAATTCACGTAAATATTATAATTAACATTAAGATTATTATATAAATTAAGATATGAAATCTAAAACATAAAGGTAGCATTTTGCCAATTTTTGCACAAAGTCATTGTAATCCATAGATCAACCTATGTGGGTTACCTTGAGGCCCTTTGCTCGATTTAGCTTTGCTTGCTCTTTGCGCGTGTTGAATTGTAGGTCATCTGTCTGTATGTACTTTAGCTTCTCCAAACCTCATCAAACATTTATGGTTTTTTTTTTTCTATAAAATTACTCTTTCTACATGAAGCTTAGATATCAATCATCATCTGGTTATATTGTTTTTCACAAACGTGCAAAAATGCTGTATGTACAGCACCCTTTTTAGCAGGGTCCTACTTATATCTATTCTAAAATATATATAGATAGGTATTATATATTCATATATTAATTGATTCATATAATAAAATGCACTATGTTAATAAAAAACATGTCATTATAAATTATTCAATAAAACTACAAATACGAAAAGTCTGCTAGTACACTTCCTTGTGCTCATGAGAAATTGAGCCCCACCCTGTGTATGCATCACTCATATTTGACTTAAGGATGATTAAAATATCCTTTTGAATTGTTTTTTGTAATGTCTTTCCATCCTAGTTCCCAATGCTCAACTTTTGCGAAGGGTCTTCTAGCATTTTTTGGCCTTTTGCAATACCTCACCTCCTTTTGGGTTAAGGAGGCAAGGGTGCACTAGAGTCAATGTCACTGCCAGTACCAAATGTCTCCCCCTAGATCTCCTTAACAATGGTACTCAAAGACCCAATTGCTTGTGATTGATTTTTCCTTATAGGCCTTTGGGAAGCAACATCAATGGCCTTGTCACCCTTACAAGCTCCAAGTATGCAATTCATTGCAAAGAAAAAAAATTAAAGAAATAATACTACATTAATATATGATTGCAAAAAATACATTAGATTTAGACTTTAAAAAAATTAAATCAAATATGAAATTTAAAGACAATATTTATACATGTTACTAAACATCACATTAAGTTCTCTTTTATATCAAGCCACTTACATATCACCTAGTGTGTTATAAAATACCACAAACATACACTACAAAATAATAACAAAGTCTATGTATGTTATTAATTAATTAATCACTACTATCACTCACAAAAATATATTCAATATTTTCTTCCTCATATATATAATAATCTTCAAATTCTTCCTCACTTACTCAATTTCTCTGTCATCATCCACATCCTCAAATTCTACATTAAGGGCAAATACAGTCTCATTAGTATGTTGAATAAATTCATATAATATGAGATCTAATTGGGTTGGTTAGGGAGCTGAAGCGTCATCATCCTGAAAAATGGGTTTTGGATCATCATGTTGTTCCTCTTACTCATTTGACATCTCAATAATACTTCTTACCTTGCATTTCAATGTAGCAACCCATCCCTTCCTAATAGAATTATATGATGGATATTGAGTGTAATACACTTGTTTAGCTTGACTTGCCAAGATAAAAGGCTCATAAGTTCTTAGTTTTCTATTTGGATTAATATCAACAAGACGATGTTTTCAAACAACCACAATTCCTTGTGCAGGAGGAATTTCATACCAATCTCATTTAAATAGAACAACTATCTGTCGATGTCTGGAGCCAACATATTGAAGCTCAATCACTTTCTGCAACAACCCATAAAAATCCAAATCTAATTATGTTCCTGTGGTTCCCGTGACACACACACTGCCATTATTTTCTTGTTTTTTTTTTCCATATGAGGCAATTTCAAGTGCAAAATAGAAAAATATGTTCAAGGGGGTATCAATTGGAAGTAGGGACTTGATGGTTTCTCATTTGCAATTTGAGGATGATACTATGATAATTGGGGATGCAATTGAGAGGAATGTGTGGGTAGTCAAAGCTATGATGAGAACTGTTGAGCTTGTTTTAGGGCTTAAAATCAATTCTAGCAAGAGCAAGTTACTTGAAGTGAATGTGGAAAAGGATTGGAAGGAAGGAATGGTAGACTTGCTAAACTGCATTGTGGGGGCATTTCCTTTTAAATACTTGGGCATACCAGTTGATGGTAATTTGAGAAGCTAGCTATCTAGCACCTATTGATGGAGAGATGTAGAAATAGGTCATCATTGTAGAATGGTCAGTTCTTGTCCTTCGGAGTAGAATCGTTTTTATTAACTTTGTGCTTTCAAGCTTACCCATGTTTCTCTTATCACTGTGCAAAATTCCAAGAGGAGTCATTAAGGAAATAGATACAATTCCTAGGAGATTCTTATAGGGGGGAGTGAGAATAAGAAGGAAGTGGCATGGGTGTGTTGGGAAAATGTGTATAGAAATAAGGATGAGGCTGGGCTAGGTATAAAAAACTTGAGATTGTTTAATTTAGCACTGTTAGGAAAATAGTGGAATAGGTTGTTGGTAGGGGGTAATGAACTATTGAAGAGGGTGGTGAGAGAAAAATATGGGGATAACGATAGAGATTGGATAAAATGGCTATGTTAAAGTAAAAAAGTAGGGTCAGCTTGGTGGCAAGACATATGCAACATTAATAGTGGGTGCCTTCATAAGAAATAGTGGTTAGGCAAGGCGTTTGAGAGGGTGATAAGTGAGGGGAAAAGAACTAGTTTCTAGAAGGATGTCTACGTAGGGGAGCAAGAACTAATGAAAATATTTCCTAGACTTTTTTCTTTATCTATAGGAAAGAACAATTCAATTCATGGCATGGGCACTTATTCAAATGGCAAATGGAGGTGGACTCTCTTTTGGAGAAGACAACTCTATGAATGGGAAAAAGAATCAGAAGAAAGCTTGCTAAAGATGCTAGAACATGTACAACCAGTGGAGGGAAAAGAAGACAAATGGCAATGGCATTATGATAAGGAAGGCAAATATAAAGTGAAAGATGTGTACAACTTCCTACAACCAACTAAGAGTGTCAAGGAAACGTGCTTCTTTAAGAAAACTTGGAATGCTTTGGTCCCACCAAAAGTTTGTGGGTTCTCTTGGCAATTGCTACAAAAATAGGATTCCAACAAAGAAAAATTTGAGGAATAAAGGCATTACCATAAAAGGTAACTCTGGTTCATGTGCTGTTTGTAATTTGGAGGATGAGAGCTGTGATCATCTATTCATTAAGTACAAAGTTGCACGGAAATTATGGATGGGATGTTTTCAGTGGTGGAATATTTCTTATGTGAATTATCACCAACACTATCTATTTGGAGGAACAAAAGAGGAGAGGAAAGCATGGGATGTGCTTTGGTTTGCTATCATTCGGTCTCTATGGTTGCATAGGAATGGGTTGATTTTCAAGGATTTAGATGTGCAAGAAAATGGGCTCCTAGAAAGGGTACAAATGAGATCATATCAGTGGATCAAAAGTAGAACAAAAGTTCTGTGCTTTTTCATTTATAGAGTGGCAGTTGAATCCGAAGGAATGCATCAAAGCCTTCCAACTTTGACAGGTTTCTTAATGAAGGGGGTATTTTCTGAGTTTTAATGGCTGGATTTTCATTTAACGATTCCACATGGTTTATGTTTTCTAAGTTGCCTACAGTAGGGTAAGGAAGCAATTGATGTATATGGGTTGGGAGTATCCCTTGCACTCCATTTTAGTAAAACTTTTGCTGCTAAAAAAAAAAAATAAATAAATAAATAAATAAAAGAAAAATGCAGAAAAGAGAAAAAAAGCCAGACAATACTCTCACCTCTGAAATACACAACAAGAACACCCATTATTCGTTGCAGCAAATTCTGAGGATTTATAACTATTAGTACTGTTTAAAAATCTTTTAAAATACCACAAAGCTAAAAACTCTCTCAATAATAAATGTGAAACTTAACACTATTGTTGAGCATGGAAGAAGTCTTATTTATAGATGCTAAACAAATATCTCCTATGGTTGTCTCCAAAAGACACCATTTTATGTTGTCTGTTGCACTGTCTGCAGACATACGACTTGACATTTCAACCTCGAAATTCAGAATCAAATTCAGAAAATAAAAACAAAAAAATCATTTGTCAACAAGGACCGAGACAAAGCCCGAGCCAAGTGCCCATTATAAAGGAAATATATCCCTATTTCATTTAGGAAGAATCATATTCAAACTGATCAAGGTTTCTAAAAAATAGGATCCTCCCATGATCCAGATCAGGGTAAGGAATTCATGGTCGGATTGTGCCAGCTGCTTAATGTGGTTTGCTTGCTGGCACGAATGCGCGGCATAGAGAAGCATCTCCATCCACATTTCCTTTATCATCTTCCATCTATCACATATTTGTCTTGAGTTGAGGACGGTCACTAGCTTTAGAGCATACCGCAGCAAGTCACTCAAAGGGTCTTCCATGGTACTGTACAATTTCTTTTTCCTTTTTTCGGCCATCTTAGTGCTGCCCATTTACATGTGCAAAAAACAATGTAATATTAAAAATAATTAACTTAACAATTGCATATGTATAAATATTAAATTCTAGATAATTAGTATGGACAAACCTGATATTGTACCATGCATAGGGCGCATTCTGGTTTAGCAATAATTTTAAAGCATGATCCATATCCGCTTCTTCGGAGAAAAGATCTTTAAGCATGTTGCAAGCATCCAACCAAAAACTCCGACAGTTCTCAGGCAATAGCATATTAGGTTGCAAGGCCAGCAGATACATCATATAATCTGATAAATATTTGCTGCTTTTTCTGTCTTCAATCAAGATATTTCGGTATGGATGCTGGACATCTTGATGGTAACAAATACTCGTGGCTAGGTGCCAGACTATAATGCTAGTATCAAAGTCCAATTCAATGCTCTCTTTCAGGTTAGTATATTGTCGAGCACCAAATGTTGCCTTTTCCTTGATTTTATCAAGCATCTTTTCCCCCCTTGTTGGTTCAAAGGATAAATCATCCTTAAAAAAGGAATTTAAATGAACTCGGTAATCTGCTGTTAGCTTTAAACACCTTGGAACCTCCACAAACTTAGTATAGTTGTACTTGTGCAAATATTCAAGAATACGGTTGCTAAAACACGTTTCTAGAAAGCCATAAACCTTGGAATTACTGGAATTCCAGTAATACTCTAACAAATTAAATTGCCCCATCCTACCTGACTTCCTATATCTTCTTGGAAATAACGAGCGAGGAAAGTATTTGAAGATGTACCAGAGGATATAGCGGACCCAACGACTTTCATGAAATAGCATCAAAGGAATTGTCCAATGAGAAGAAAACATTGAGCACACTGCAAAAAATTCCAACACCACAACTCCAACCAACAAGGTGATTGTTATGTGAATATCAACACTTGAGAAATGGAAATTCGGCTCGTTCATGATGCTGATAAGAAAGAACAGTAAAACTGAAAAGGAGCAAGTGAAGCTGATGAGACGCAAGATACATCCTTTATTGGTATAAATCAAAGAAGTTTTTGAGTACACAGTGTCGAATATGAACCCCATTTCTGCAGCAGCTATGTCGAATGGAGTTTCCCTTAGCTCTGCTGTTTGAAGCAAATCTGCCAGCATTAGACTCTCATGGTTGAATTCAGTTGGCCTCAAATAAGTTTTTATCCTTTTTACATAGGATTGAAGATACAAATTACCGCTCAGATAATCATTTGCATCTGGTCTCATAACTGAAAACAATAAATAGCCTAGTAACACGATTTTGGATTCTGGACATTCCTTTAGAAGGTTTTCAACGAATCGTACTCTCTCAAACCCACGTTTATGATAAGAATTGGCGATGACCGATTTTGTTTTCTTTGAGTTCGTCAACTCAAGACACAAAATCCTCTCCACATATTTAATTATTCCAGCTAATATGAGAGGAATGGTCAAAATGGAAAGCCTAAGATAGGTCCATGACAAATAAATGACATAAATGGCAAAGATGGATTGTACCACTAAGGTGAGGATGTGTCTGGTCCAGAGCTGGGTATCTTGCAGGGTGTAAGCAGTGATGGTATCCGAGCCACCGAGGTGCAGTATCAGTATGGGAGCCCATAGTGCTCTTAGAACATTTTTTGTGGGAGACAATGCATGAGCACTAGAAAGCTTAGCAAGAGCAGCAATGGCGAGCCAGTCCGCACTTATGTAGGCAAACCAGAGAATCATTCTTCTTGTAAGTCTAACATTGTACTTTCTGTGTTTGCCGAAGACATAGAGGGCTATTTGCAAGAGCAAGCTTAGGAGAACCATCCCCCTCACATCCCATTCTCTCCATATCCGCAACAAATATGTAAATGTGCTCGCAATTGATGATGCTGCCTTCCCTCTGTTTATATATATCCATACCAACAACACATATTTGTTAATCGTAAAAAATATTTTACATGAATTAAAATGTTTGTAATTGATATTTTATTACAACTTTAAGGGACTTACCTTCCAACCATTGCTTATCATAAGCTTCTCCCTCGAACCGTTCAAAAAAAGAAGGAAAAAACTCTTCTGGCTGGACAATCTTGCAACTTCAATATATAGTATGGACAATTCTTCTTTTTTATGCCTTAATTAATGAACTTCAAAGGTGTTTTATATACCAGCTCTCAAAAGATAAAGACCAGACAAATTTGTTAGTTACATATTCTTATTCTTTACTTCTAGTTCTAACATGCACACAATATAATAGTAAAGTAGCAAATTTATGGATCTTACTTTTCATCCTCCTATTTATTTTTACAAGATATGAAAATAAACGAAGTCCAAACAGTTTAAACTTCATCTGGGTAAAATAAAAAACGAAATTTCGGACCTTAGCACTTTTTTTTTTCAACTGAAGATCAAGTTTTCAGGTATTTCCATGAAAGAAGTCAGGTGCGCTTTTGAAGAATACTCGTCAAGTCAATATAAATACATATTTTTTATTGTTAAGTGAAAAAATCTCACATTGATAAATTAACAAAGAAATGCTTGAGTTAAATATAAAGAGTACTATTTCATTTATTGCAAATTAATTTTAGGTTAGATATAAACTTTATATTGAAATTCAGATATATAAAATTTTCCTATTGGCAAATAAATAAATTGGCATGCATTTTTAACTTCTTATTTAGCATTGCATCTGTTTTATCTACCTGCCTTGGACAGCCTGTGGAAATATTGGCAAACCAATTGGAAAGCCTTATTTTTTTAATCTTTTTTTTTTTTTTATCAACAAAATAGAAATCTAATACTTGAATTTAATTTCACTCTACTTATAATTTACTTAAAGTTAATATGAGATTTAACTTTGTCAGTTAGACACTGACATATTCTAATTCTTCAATTCAACTTATGAAGAAAAGCATGTGATTAGGAGATCTCTGTTTTCATCCTAACTCCTATAACTACAAGAAACTGGACTTTAGTGATTAAAAAAAAAGTGATTGATTTTCAGGTCATTTTTAATATCCTTCTATATATATATATAGGAATAATATCTATTTGTTTTATCTCCAAAAAATTAAAAGAAAAATCATTTTAAAATTATGTCGTCTAAATAAACTTTTATTGAAAAAGATTAAAATAGAGTAAAACACTGTATTTAATTTTTAAAGTATGAATTAGAGTATTTTTGTCTTTTCTCATAATGTGTTATTGAAAATAATTTTTCTTATAATTTTTTAAATATAATATTTTATTCTTTTTCAATAGAAAATTATTGAAACAACATAATTTTAAAGTAATTTCCTCTTAATTTTTAAGAGTTAAGTGGAAGGGCACTATTTTATATATATATATATATTATAATTGGTAAATAATATAATCGGTGAGACGGGTGAGAGGGGGCGAGATTGGGAAGAAAAGTGCAGAAATGTAATTTCAATTATTTTTATTTTTATTTTTTAACAGAAATATTTTGTATAATTCAAACTATACAGAACTAATCATAGGAAAAGATGGGACTGTATTATAGATGCAAGCCATTTCCCGTTTAATGAAACTGATATAGTTCAAAGACTTTAAAACTGCAGGCTCTTTAGTTATTTAATTGAGTGATGAGTTGTTAATTTTTATATATGCATTTTATACTCCTATTTATTTTTAGTATACTTAGTTTGATTTTTTTTTTATTTTTAAAATATAAATTTTAGATGAAAATTTAATAACTTATATGAATAACATTTAAACTTTTTTTATCAACTAAAAAACCTTAACAAGAATTATATATAGGGAGACAAAAAAATTTCAGTTATTGTTCATATAGATTATTAAATTTTCATTTAAAATTCATATTTTAAAACTTAAAAAGTCAAATTAAACTTACTAAAAATAAATGGAAGGAGCATATATTACGGTGGGAGCCACAAAGCCACAAAAGCAGCATAAGGGCTAAAAGTATTAAAGACGAAGAAGTTAGAGGGCATCAAGGGGGTCAAGCCTTCTCATTCTTTGCTTCAACCTATGCAAAGAGAATTACAGTGTAGAAAAGTAGCTAATTGGGAATCTTTCTTTTGATATCCTCTCCCATTTCTTTGCCAAGACGTGGAAATTTTATTCGGTCGTGTAACACAAGCATCGGGAGCATAATCATCTGGTTTTATAATTAAAACAATAAATAGTCTAGAAATGGAATCTGGGTTTTCTTCTGCAAGGTAGTTAGCGAAATAGACTTGACTCGATCCGAGATCATAAAACATGGAGATGACCAGTTCTGTTTTCCTTTTTTCTTTTTTTCCTTTTTTTTTTCTCTTTTTATTTTCGTTGAACAATAAAAAGTAATTATTTCTCATTCCTTATCCCACCACACCCACATGTTAGAATATTCAAATTCAAAATTTCTTACTTATAACAAAAAGAAATTATTATTGAATTATTTATGTTATTAATAGTTCTATTTCCTTAATTCTCATGAATATTCTCTATGTAGAGATCATAGATATTCTCATTCTTTGCTTCTAACAGATGCTTCTCTATGCAGCGATAACAGGTAAGCACATTAACCACGTTAAGCTGCTGGGAGAAGGCCTTGAATTACTCTCACTTCTCTAGCTCTTTGAAAGCATTGCCATTATTGGTAGATAATAGAGCATATTTTGTTTCCGATGAAGAATAAGGGGAATTAATAGTAACAATACGGTTAGGAAACAAGAGAAATTAAGGTTGGTCAATTTTTTTAGATTATGGAATGAGTAGAGAATACTCATTCTTAGAAGGAAGTGGTAATAGTTATTCCTTGCGTATCCATTAATTTAGAAGAAAAAATTTTATACTTAGTTTGTCAATCAAACTCATTATTTTGTCTTATATTCTTATAGTTTCCTTCAATCAAACATGACCTCATAGTCTCCGTTAAGCATAGATGTCTTATTTATAGATGCTGAATAAACATCTCCAGTGGTTTCTTCAAAAAGAAAACCATTTCACGTTATTAGTGTTGCAATGTCTGCAGATACAACGCTAGACTTTTCAATTTCCAAATTCAAAATTAAATTCTCAAAATAAAAATAAAACTAAAAAATTCATTTTTCAGCAAGGCCCAAGCTCAAGCCCCCATTATCAAAAAATATTCAGCCTATTTCAACAAGCCTAAACCCTCTTCATCAGCATTTTTTTCTTAAAAAGAGGGATCCTCCCATGATCCAAGTCAAGGTAAGGAATTCACGGTCGTATCGTGCCAGCTGCTTAGCATGGTTTACACGTTGGCATGGATGCGGCGCATAGAGAAACGTCTCCATCCACATTGCCTTTATCATCTTCCACGGTATGTGACTAGATTTGATGCATACAGTTGCAGTTCTTCCATTGGGGTACTGGTAATTATATATGCAAAAAACAGTATTATATTTAAAACAGTGAACATAACATTTGTACATGCATAATTAAGATTAGATAATTAGTATGGACGAACCTGATCCCACCATCATCCTCTGCCTCTTCTTCACTCAAACCTGAAAGGGCTTCATGACCATCCTGCTTTTACAATAATGTCAAAGCATCCTCCATAGTTTTTTTTTTTTTTTTGGAAAGGCAAAAACATTTATTAATTATGGAATACAGGGGCTATTCCAACCCATTACTTACAAAAATCAACAGATTACAAAGATTTTTCTATTTCATCGGCTTTTGTAAAAGAACAGTAGAAACATAATGTCCCAGAAAAGTCCAGTTCAAACTCTATCTTTCTCGTTGACTTTGATCTTTAAACATTTGATTGGATTCTCACACCAATCTGATAAAGAGAACCCATCCATTCCTGCAATATTTTTTGCCCAGTAAAAAGATCGAGTTTGAACTAGCTCAAAAAAACTATCTGCCTTTGCTTCCTTTGTGTTGAAATCATGTCATTCCTACCCAGCCAAAGTGTCCATACTACTGCAAACCAAATGACGTTCCACCCTCTATCTAGTAATTTTGGGCCCCCATTCCATTTGTGTTAGTCCAAAACTATCATACATGAATTACTCAACACGTATTGCTTGCCCACACTTGTAGCATTTCATCCATAAACTGGAAGCCAAGTTGCAGTTAACAAGCAAGTGGTTGGGTGTTTCAAGTGATGTATGACACCAGCAACATCTTAGATTCGTATTATCAGTTAAGATTCCACAAGTTGCTAAATTATCTTTTGTAGGGAGTTTCTTGTGAAGCAATTGCCAACAAAAAGCACTTACTTTAGGTGGAATGGAGGCCTTCCACATCCTTTTGAAGTCACCTACAGGCCTAGTGTCGCCCTTTAGGAGTTGAGAATATGCTGACTTAGTTGTGTAGATTCCTGAGGGTTTCAGTTGCCACCACCATTGGTCTTCTTTGTTTTGTATTGGATGAGCTGTCTTGAGCGTCTCTAAAAGTTCTGTTTCCAAGTCTTCCTCCCACGAATGCAATTGACGCTTCCATGATAATTTCCATTGCCAACATCCATTCATCCAAGTTCCCATATCTTTCACATTGGAATTTTCACTTGTGGATAATAGAAACAAACGTGGAAATTTGTTAGAGAGTGCACTCCCTCCTACCCATTCATCAGACCAAAATTTCATGTTTCTGCCATCCCCTAATTTCACTTCGAAACTTGAGCTCAACCAATTATTCTTTATCCCCACCCCTTCATCTATTTTGCAAACATCCCTCCACCACCTTGAGCCTTAAGATCTACCCTCCCTTAAGTAGGATAGCCAATTCCCTTCTTTATTCCCATATTTTTCGAATAAGACTCTTCTCCACAAACCCCCTTTCTCCATGAGCGGTCTTCCCCACCATTTTCCTAGTAATGACATATTAAAACATGACAGGTTTTTAATACCCAAACCCCTTTCAAGCTTATTTTTACATATCTTCTCCCATGCTACCCATGCGACTTTTTTCCTCTCCCTAACTCCCCCCCCTAAAAATCGTCTCCTAATTTTGTCTAACTCACCTATGATGCTCTTTGGAAGGAGATAAAAGGACATTATGAACATTGGAAGGCTGGACAGCACAAAATTAATGAGAGTTATTCTTCCTCCAAGAGATAGGTAACGCCTCCTCCATGAAGACAATTTTCTTTTGAAAGTGTCGATAAGTGACTTGCATGTAGCTATTCTTCTAGGGTCTGCTCCCAAAGGGATACCTAGATACTTACAAGGTAGAGATCCTAATTTGCGATTCAATAAACATGTCATTTCCTTTTCCCATAGATCATCAGTATTGATTCCAATCAAGGAGCTTTTCCCATAGTTTATTTTCAACTCGGAGACTAGTTCGAAAGCCCTCATAATACATTTTGTGGTCCAGATATTTTCCTCTGTTGCTTTCCCTATTAATAAAGTGTCATCTGTAAACTGAAAATGGGAAATACTTATATCCCCGCTTCCAATTGGGACCCCTTCAAAAAGTTCTTTCGCAACTACCGATGAGATGATACCATTAAGCCCTTCCACAACAATAAGAAACAGGAAAGAAGCTAAGGGATCCCCTTGTCTTAATCCCTTGCACATAGTAAACTCTTTTGTTGGACTACCATTGAGCAAAACAGATACTAAGTTTGTTTGCAGACATTCTCGAATCCACCCCCTCCATACCAAGCCAAAATTCATCCTTTCCAGCATATAATCCAGAAACTCCCAGTTGACATTGTCGTAAGCCTTCTCAAAGTTGGCCTTGAAGAGGAGACAACTCAATTTTTTCCTTCTAATTTCATCTATCGTCTCATTTGCAATGACTGCTCCATCAACTAGTTGTCTCCCTCCAATGAATGTTGATTGTTGTTCACCTATGAGCCCATCCAACACTTTACCCAATCTGTTGGCAAGGTTTTAGCAAGGATTTTGTACATGCAACCTATCAGGGAAATAGGCCTGTACTCTTCAAGTCCTTGTGGGTTCTCCTTTTTAGGTATCAATACCAAAAATGATGAATTGGAACCCCTCACCAACTTGCTGTTGATATGGAAGTCCGCTAGAAACTTCAATATATCATCTTTTACCACTTCCCATTCTGCTTTCAAAAACCCAAAGCTCAAACCATCTGGACTTGGGGCTTTTGCACTATCATAGTTCCATACAACTGCTTTGACCTCTGATTCAAGAAATGGTTCTATTAAGAGATCCTTTTCTGCTTCAGAAATTTTGTTAAAATCCACGCCCTCCAAACTAGCCTTTTCCAGTCTTCCTTTGCCAATAAATTCCTGAAATAGTCGGCCACTCCCTGTTTCAGCTCATTGACTTCTTGCAAAACCTTCCCGTTGACCAATAAGGAGTTAATCTCATTCCTTCTCCATCTACTTTTGATGCACCGGTGGAAAAAGCTTGTATTTGCATCTCCTTCTTTCATCCATGTCATCCTTGATTTTTGCCTTGCCATTTCTTCTTTTATTTGAATATTTTCCCACAGAGTTAGCATTAGATCCCACTTGAGAAGGCCTTCCACCTCACTTAGCTGTTGTAATTCGCCTTTACAATCAAGTTTAGCTACAGTTCCTTTTGCTTCCTCAATTTGTTTGTCCACCGCCTACACATGATTCCGTGTCCAGTCCTTCATACTATTTTTCAATAGTTTAAGCTTCTCTTTCAACACTAAACCTCCCCACCCTCGGATGTTAGAGTTGTTCCATTGTTTCTCTATCATTTCTTTAAAAGTAGAGTAGGGTCTTGCAACCACACATTATAAAATTTGAAGAGTTTTGGGGCCCAATTACGTGCTTCATCCTTCACCAAAATTGGGCAATGATCTAACAGTGACCTAGCTAGCCCCCATTGCTTCAAATCTGTCCAATTAAGCAACCATTCCTCAGAAAATAAGAATCTATCCAAGCGGCTCATGTAGTTACCATTCGGTTGGTACCAAGTGAATTTTCTCCCTATCATAAGAAGGTCCACCAACCCACTCATCTCAATAAACTCGTTAAACTCCCTAAACTCCCTCCTTACACTGATACCTCCTTTCCTTTCCTGGAGATTTCTAATGGCATTAAAATCTCTAGCTATACACCAATTTCCTTTATTGGAGCAGATTATATTTGATAAATTCTCCCATAAGATTCTCTTACTCACCAAATTACATGGAGAATAAACATTTACCAAATAGTAGGGAATGTTTTCTTCTCCCCAAATCCCCACAACTCCCAAGTATCATGTACCTTCTAAATTACCAATCTTCTTGAAAACACTAGAATTCCATATAATTAGTATTCCTTCTAATGCTCCATTAGCGAGTTGTGCAACCCACTCAAAATTATCTGAATCCCAAACCATTCTACACAACCGCTTATCTACTCTCTCCATTTTGGTTTTTTGAATAAACAAAACATCAACTTTCTATTTGACAACCAATTCTCGAATCTCCCTTTTCTTACCTATCCCCCCTAATCCTTTAATATTAATACATAACAAAATCATGGGAAGTGGGGCATCCCTTGGTCTCCTTTTCTGTGTTTCTTTTCTTCCTCCTTTGTCCATTTTTCTTTGTCGCGGCTTTCCATTTCTTTTAGTTCTGTAGCACCGATGCCTCTTATCCTTGTGCAGTCACCCCAAACTCTTTCACCCGAGACCACAGAGCTTCCATGTTTCATTTTTTTCTTCTCACTTCGATGTTTTTATTACAGTTCTAGATGTTGCTGTCGTTGATCGAGTCATCTACAACTGGCTTCTCCGAGTCTTTCTCAAACAGAACCTCCTTCTTTGTCTTTACAGCTGCTTTTCTCTGTCCTTTCGATTTTTGCTAAACTAAGAAGCCTTCCAATCCCCTAGACTTTCTATACATCGATGCACAAGACTTTGCTTTTCTCTTCTTTTTCCTTTTCCCACACCCATCATTCCTATTCATCCAATTTGCATCGATGCTTGAATCAGTTTCAAGGTCATCCCAAAATGAAAAGTCTGACTTCCTGTTCTTTGTTTTGGATCTATTGCTATTTTTCTCATTCTGCTCCTCTGGGCCTGTATTTGTTGGCTCTTGTAAATCAACCGGTTGGGGATCTCTCGGCCTAGTATCCTTTTCTAGGCCCATTTCTTTTGTTGGCAGCCCATCATTTAAGTCTTTAACATATCTTTCTACTTCTCCACATCTCCTATTGTCTTCTACTACTTTATTTTTTCTTTTTTGATAAGACTTGCCATAGCTGCCCATATCTGCATTGGTACTCAATTGACTGTCATTTTCGAAGTTCCCTTGATCAGCTTTATTAGTCACTATATCTGGATCCGCCACAATCTTTCTTGTTTCTCCCAATCGTTGAATATTTGAATTTGAATCAAGGAGCCCCATCCTGATTTCGCCCATACCCTCTGTTTCCTCAGCTATCTTGGTACTTGTACTGGCAATCTCGTCCTCATTCCTTTTGTTACCTTCCACCTCATCACTATGCCTAGCCACCTTAACGTTTTGGCTTGCCACCTCATTCTTGTTTCCATCCCTCGTATTTGGTGTTGCCACATCATCCTCCATGAAGGCCTTAACACCATCGCCTTCAATCCCCAGTGTCTGAAGCTCAAACTGTTCCAAGATGTTCTTGTCCAAGTCGGTATTTACCTCATTTTAACTATCTAAAGAGCTGCTTTCTTCATCATCCTCTTCTCTGGGTGCATGAAAAATCCTATCAGACCTCATGGTGAAGAGATTATTTGTTGACTCCTCTTCTGTGAACTTGAGTATGAAGAATTCGCCATTGATCTTCACTGTGATAGACTTGGATGTAGATTTTGTGGTTGGTGTGGTGATTAAGAATCTTGCAACATTAAATCTTTTCTTGCTAATTGTGATATCATCTAAAGTTATAAGGTTTCCCCATAATCTTCCAAAGGTTTGGAAGGTCTCCAACTTCCAAGCATGCGTTAACAGCCCCTGGCATCGGATCCATGCAAACCTTTTCATTGCTACCACAGTAGGGGTCCACGGCTTCACGTCTTCAAACCAATTCCTCAACTAGTCTTTTCCAATATCAACCAGCTCCTTCAAATCATCATATTCTTTGCCTTCTAATAACATTAATCTACCTCCCATTGGCCTAATGTTGCAAAAGAATACCCCTTCCATGAAGAATTTCTCTTGCAGATTAGGTATCAAGTTCACTGAATGCACTGTGCCAACAAAACACTTTTCCAACCATGCATATTCTTCTAGATCGAAGTTCAACTCCATGCCTGACCAATGATGGTACTGGTGTTCTAGTTTCCATTCCCTTTGCTAACCTCCATAGGTATTGGCGTCGTTGCTTCCATACCTTTGTACTGTTCCTTCTTTCCTTCTTTCATTATTGGGCCTTTCTTCCATCCTATTGTTGACTGCTTTTACTACCTCAGCATATGATGGTCTTCTAACATTACCATTAAAGCTTTGTTGTCTCCAGTTACAAGCCTTGGAATGGTTACTAGGAATCAGGTTTTTTTTGACAATCCCACTTTGTGTACCTTGGTTTGTTTGCTTGTAATCCCTAGTTCCCTATCCTTACTTCATTTAATCTTCTTTCTAATTCACCTTCATTCTTCACATCCAGGAATCGAACAAACCCAAATTGTCTACCCAACCTGTCCCTCTTCACCGGACAATCAATCTACAGCACCCTTCCAAGGCCTATTCTGTTAAATGTGTGCCACATCTGCTCAAACGAACATTCCTTTGGAAAGTTTGTGAAGAAAAAAGGAATTGCCTGGTTGTAAATTCTCGTCATAGCCTCCCACCTCCTGTTGGAATCATCCCCTATCCTAGAATCTGAACCTCTCATATGGTTGTGCTGTCTGTTTACCTTGTGTTCTTCGTCCCAGAGCTCTCTCTCTCTCTACCTCTCATCTCTCTCAAGCATCCTCCATAGTTGATGCCTTAGAATATCTTTAAGCTTGTCGCAGGCATCCAACCAAAAACTAGTACAGTGCTTAGGCGGTAGCATAGCAGGTTGCATGGCTAGCAAATACATCACGTAATTTGATAAATATTTGCTGCTTTTCCTTTCTTCAGTAGAGATATTAGGGTCTTCATGGTAACAATCAGTTGTCGCAAGGTGCCAGACTATGATGCTGCTATCAAAGTCCAATTTGATGATGCTTTGTTCCAGGCTTTTATATTGACGACATCATGAACCAAGTATAAATAATCCCTTGATTGAATCGAGTGTCTTTTTGCCCCTTGTTAGTTCAAAGGAAAAATCATCTTTAAAGAAGGAATCTAGACAATTTTGGTAATCCCTTTTTTGGCTTTAAACAGCTTGGAACCTTCACAAACCTGATACATTTGAACATATGCCAAATTTCAAGAATACTGCTGCTACAATCCTTTTCTAGGAAACCATAAACCTTAGAATTCTTGGAATTTCAATAATAATCTAACAAATTAAATTGGCCCATCCTACCTTACCACTTCTTCACTTGAGGAAATAACAAGCAAGGAAAGCATTTGTAAATGTACCGGAGGATTTTGCGAACCAAACAATTTTGATGAAATAACATCAGAGGTATTGTCCAAGGAGAAGAAAAGATTGAGCACACAACAAAAAATTCAAGTGCCACAGCACCGACCAACAAGCTGATTGTTATTTGAATATCAACTGTTGAGAAATGAAATTTCGACTTGTTCATGACTCTGATCAGGAAGAGCAGCAGAACCAAAAAGGAGCAAGTGAAGCTAATGACGCACAAGAAACATCCTTTCTTAGTATAAATCAAAGAAATTTTTGTGTAAAATATGTCAAATATGAACCCCATTTCTATAACAGCTATGTCAAAAGGATATTCCCTTTTCAATTGAATCTTGCAAAACTGACTTCCGAAGGCCGAATTTATCAGCAGTTTTCTCCAAATAAGTTTTTATATAGAGGACTGGAGATACTGCTGAAAAATCATTTGCATCTGGTCTCAAAACTGAAAACCATATATAGCCTAGTAGTACTATTATGGAATCTAGATGTTCTTTTAGAAGGTTCTCAAGGGATAGACTAACCTCGAACCCACCAAGATGATAAAACATGGAGATGACTGGTTCTGTTTTCTTAGAGTTAATCAGCTCAAGACACAAAATTCTATCTACATATTTAATTATTCCAGCTAAAATGAGAGGAATGGTCAAAATGGAAAGCAAAAGACAGGTCCATGACAAATAGATGACATAAATGGAAAACATTGATTAGACCACTAAGGTGACGATGTTTCTGTCCAAAGCACCTTGCAATGAGTAAGCAGTGATGGTATCCGGGCCACTAAGGTGCAGTATTAGTATGGGAGCCTATAGTGCTCTGAAAACATTTTTTGTGGGAGATAATGTGCGAGCATTAGAGAGCTTACGAAGAGCAGCAACGGCGACCCAATCCACACTTATGTAGGCAAACCAGAGAATCATTGTTGATTTGGCTGACACTGTACTTTCTGCACTTGCCTAAGATGTAAAGGGCTATTTGCAAGAACAAGCTCAGGAGAACCATCCCCCTACATCCCGTTCACTCCACATCTTCCACAATGAATATGTAAATGTGCTCACAATTGATGCTGCTGCCTTCCCTCTGTTTATATATATCCATACCAACAAAACATACACATTAATCATACAAATATTTTTCAAGAATTAAAATATTTATAATTGATATGTTTTGTTAATGGATATACCTTCCAATCATTGCTTATCATAAGCTTCTAACTTGGGCAATCTAGCTTCAATATAAAGTATGGCTACAATTCTTCTATTTATGCCTTAATGAACTTTGGTGGTGTTTTATTTACAAGCTTAAAAGATAAAGATCAGACTTATATTGTTAGTTACGTACTCTCATTCTTCGCTTCTAACATGTGCATACACAATATAATAGTGTAGAAAAGTAGCTAACTAGGGATCTTTCTTTTCATCCTCCTGCTTCTTTTTCCGAGATATCAATTACTTTAGATATATAAAATTACTAAGAAATTTGTATAGTAATTGACCAAAGCTAAAAAGTAAAAACTATACGGAGAAATACTATAAAATCGACCATGGCTCCTACCTACATAAATTATCCACCACCACAATATTGATTGCCAAAGAAAAGAATATATCAAGGAAATAAACCACATAACAGTTGCTCAGATCTAAAAATACACAAAGCTACATTAGGAGAAAACTCCAATCCAACCATGTAGTGCAGACGGAGGTTGACAGCCTAAAGATATCATAACACCATATGAAGGTCAGGATTACACCTGATAATCATCATACTCTCGAAACTAAAATCTAATTTAAATCAGTAGTTCACTTAAAAAAATCCCTTCTTCCCTTGTCAAGTTATCTTTTGAAAGTTTTTAGCTAATAGGAATTTCATCAAACACATTGTACTCCTCACTGAAAAATCATTTTTTTGGGAATTCCCAGAACTAAGAAATTCTTTTCATCAAACAACAAAACAGGCTTTGCACGGCGAAAAAATTCAACAGAACTAATAAATTCTTTTCATAGAAAAAATTCAAATATCAAAACAAAAGTTAGAGAGATTACCTTTGCAGAACACCGATTATAGAGAGAAGATGCCAGAGACAGCTGTGAAAGAGGGGAAACCATCGGAGACGAGAAACTGACGGGCAGAGGAAGCCATGGGAGATGACGAGGAGAGGAAGCCATCGAAGAGTGATTAAATGGAGGGTTTACTGATGAAAAGGGGTCTTATAT